CAATGCAACATTTACCACCACCTTGGCGTCAAAGATCTTTGTTATCTTTTTCCTTATGAGCTTTCAGAATCTTATTACACAAAACACATGTCCTTGAACATTGAAAATAATTTCAGATAAATCTGCACCTGAATATCTCTGTACTAAAGGTGTCTCCTGGAGTCTGCCTCTGTCCTCATGTCCCATATCAGCAGATCAGATGAATATCAAAATTCTTTTTCTCTATTTTGTTACATTAACACGACAATGTAATAGAAATCACAAACAAAGAGAGTGTACAAACTACACTGTAAAAATATATATGCTAGATATTTAATTGCTATAGAATTAGCATTCATAACTTACAAATAACATCTATAAAATAACACCAAAAAAGCAAACAATACCATGGGTATATGAGTGAAGGGTATGATTAAGCACTTTACAAAAGAGGAAAACCACTGGCTAATAGCATGAAAACGTGCTCAACTTTATGAATACTTAAGGAAATACATATTAAGATACATAATTAATACTCATATGAATTTAAAAAATTTAACTTTTGGTAACATTTAAAGATTATTAAGTATTATTAAAGATGTAGAACAGTGGTACTCTCAGATAGTTCTTCGGGAAGTTTAAATTGGCACAAGCACTTTGAAGAACTTCTTGACACATGTGTTACCGAACATGCACATAATCTCCCACCCAATGATCCCACACGGGCACACACCTCACACTGCTAAAGTTTCACATGTATGCACTAGACATATATAAAAATATTCTTTGTAATTTTTTTGCAGTTGTTTAGAAACAACATTTAAAAATTACATTTATCTTACATGCCAACTAGGTAAAATGTGAAGGCAAAACATTCTAAGAAAAGAGGAAGTGCAGCATATCCTGTTCAAAAGATAAACATAAGCAGTTTGGAAACTAGTTGTTACAGTGTGGGATCTCAGGAATAGAAGGAGAGAAACCAATTCAGACCTTCCTACTTAAGCAGCAGACCAGCAGAACTCCTTTGATTATAATACAAACTCACTTCAGCACTGCTCCGGAGTGTGGAGGGATGTCACCCACAGTCAGTGGGGATAGGAACTTGGGAGGGGGACACCTGGCAAGCTGTCCTTTTCCTTCCTGGAGTCTCACATGTAGGAGAGATGCAGTGTACCTCTCAGCCAGGAGAGACAGTCAGTATTACAACAGTATTACAAGCTACACTATCTAGAGTCAGGCACATTCTGTGTTGATTTTTCTTGTTTTCATTCACAGCCCAAGGTTGGTTCTCAACCAAGCGTGATCATCAGGATTAAATGCCAAGCAAAATACTTTATAAGCATCCAGAATCCTGGGCCCCATGACATCTCATTTCTGAAGAGTCTAAATTAAATTCTGTTGTGGGTTGAATTGTGACCCTGCCCCCAAAAAGACATGTTGGAGTCTTAACACCCAGTACCTGGAAATGTGACTTTATTTACAGATTGGGTTTTTACAGAAGGAATCAAGTTAAAATGAGGCCATTAGAATGAGCTCTGGTCCAATATAACTGGTGTTCTTATAAAAAGGGGAAACCTGGACACAGAAATAGACATGCAACGGGAGAAACAATAAGGAGAAGATGGCCATCTACAAGCCAAGGGGAAAGGCCTTTAAGAGATCTTTCCCTCACAGGGAAGCTAACTCTTGACGCCTTGATTTTGGACTTCCATACTCTAGAATTGTGAAACTGTAAACTTCTGTTGTTTAAGCCATCTGGCTTGTGATACCTTATTACAGCAGCCTAGGAAACTAATACAAATCTTAGTTAAACTTTATAGACAATTTGGTTCAAACAGAAGAGAAATGTATGATTGTAGATATTGTCTGCTGTAAAAATCAAGAACAACTCCTGGACGCCCACCCCCACAAACCCAAAGCAAGACCCTCAAAATTACATCTTGAGTTAGATTTATTTATTTCAGTTAATTCTCTCAGAAAGTTAATAAATGTAAACATTATCTATCGAATGTCAAAAACTGCTAGGTGAAATGTTTTTATTATTGATTCAATTCTATTGAATGATGTGGTTCAGAAATGTTCACATGATTATATTAATTTTCGTAATACAATTGAAATGGAAAAGATAAAAAATAAGCAATTTTAAATAAAGACGAAATCCATTACACCAGAGACTTCATTCTTCTCTTTATGGTTAACGTGAAATTACACACAGGGTACTGGGGGCTGTTAATTGGGTCCCTCATTGATCTCAGATGAACGGATTCTGAGGAATCCTGGATTTCTCTCTGTTACTTTCATTTTTCAGCTCAGTATATTTAGCAAATAATTTGATTTCTCAGGACCCTATTGGTCCTGTTTAGAGTTAGAGTTCCTTCCTCTAGGTATTCTTTTTGTTTAAACACTGTATAATGTTCCAAGCATGTTTCTAGGACCTGAATACATGTTAGTTTCCTTTTTCTTCTGGTCCACCATCTCCATTGACCAAATTCAGCATGCATTCAGAACTTTAAGTGCCTCTCTGTGACTCAAACTTCTCATCTGTAAATGAAGGTAACCATAGCACTTACTTCAGCTTTGTGTGGTTGTGGGAAGGATGCAATGAGCGATTACACATACAGCACATAGCACTGGGCCAGAAACATTGGAGCACCTATAACTGTTAGCTAGTACTATTTCTAGCATTGCCACAGAATTAATAGTTCCCAAAGAGAACAACAGCCACTGCTTAACAACACAACCATTCACCTGAGAATAAAAATGCCAACAGGCAAAATCTAACAAATTAAACAAATTAGTCATTGTTGCTCTGGATGATTTTTGCCTTTACGTATTCGTTCAGACAATATTTTCCTGTGTCAGAGACTGAATCCAGCATATGATGCCTACTCAAGACAAACAAGGGACTCAATATCCCACCTTAGCAGCCCCCCAATCCCCTTTATGCAAATCTACCTTGTACATAAGAGAAAGAAAATATCCCAGGTGTAATGGATGCGGGGATCTCTAGAGAAGTAGACTGTGTTTATGATCAAAATTTCTCCTCAATTTGGAACCAATTTGACTCCAGAGATAAAGATTAAATGGAATTCAATGCATCCTGTGAGTTCGAGAGCCAGTACCCAAAGCAGGACCCTCAAAATTAAATCTTTCTTAAAAATTAGATGAATCTTTAAAAGTTTTATTAAATGGAGAAAGAAAAGACTCAGAATATTACATATAGCACAGACCCTTTTTATAATAGGTATTCTTTTGGTGAAATAATAGATGTTCCTAAGTAAAAGCATCTAAACTAAAAATATTTACTTTGAGGAATACATATAGATGAGCTATATTCAAAGGAAGGAACTATATTTGAAGGAAGTAAGGGAACCAGAGACCTGTGAATCAAAATGGTGGCTACCTTGGATGGGGAAACAGAAATATTGGAAGGGGAATGGCTATGTAGCTAGATGGAAATTATTGTCAAGGTCCTAGCCTTCAGGTTGGATGGTGAATTTACAGGTGCTTACTGAATTGTGAAAGGTAGATACCTATGGCCAGGCACAGTAGCTCATGCCTGCAATCCCAGCACTTTGGGAGGCCGAGGTGGGTGAATCACCTGAGGTCAGGAGATCTAGACCAGCCTGATCAACATGGAGAAACTCCATCTCTACTAAAAATACAAATTTAGCCCGGGGTGGTGGTGCATGCCTATAATCCCAGTTACTTGGGAGGCTGAGGCAGGAGAATTTCTTGATCCTGGGAGGCAGAGGTTGCAGTGAGCTGAGATCCGCCACTGCACTCCAGCCTGTGCAACAAGAGTGAAGCTCTGTCTCAAAAAAAAAAAAAAAAAAAAAACAAAAAAAAACAACGCCCCTACATAAATGAATGAATGACCAAAGAGGCACTATGTTCTGCCTCAAGGATTCTGATTAACCTGATTCAGTGCCACTGAGGTCCACTGAGAGGAAAGGGCTGAGCCTGAGGATTGAATGAGGACACTGCTGTCAACCCCTTCATTGTGAAAATTAAACATTGAGTTAGGTTTCAGATAATTTTGTCAGACAGTAAATAAATGTAAACATCATCTGTCAAGTGTCAAAAAACTGCTAGGTGAAACTTTTTTGTTCTTGATTCAATTCTATTAAATGTTGTGGTTCAGAAATGTTCACATGATTATACTAATTTTCAGAATACAGTTGAGATGGAAAAGATAAAAAACAAGCAATCATGAACAAAGATGGAATCAAGAATAGAAGCTTCAACAACTTTCATCCTAGGCATAACTACAAATGTGAAGTTTCTTGGCTTTTAAGAAATTACTGTTGAAAAACTAAAGAAAAGCCTACTCACTTTTCTTTCTAAATTGAAGCACTAACCAGAGTTACTAGATAATTAAGTCAATTCTCCACTTAGTTTCATGTGTGCAAAGACAGCTTATATTTAGGCAGGCATCACTACATTAGGAAATCTTTTCCCAAGTAAAGCAAAATGTGCTGGCCACACAATCATGAATGAGCATCATTGCCAAGGAATAAAAATCCCTCCTGGGCAATGTTATTTAGGCAGCTCTACAACCATGGGGACGTGAGAATGGAGCACAGTGGATATCTTGTAAGATCCTCCTGTAAGGGGATCAATGTTTCTGCAAAGGAAAACATTGAGCATTCTACTTGCACAAGTCCATCGTGGGCACAACAGAGTTTTATTCTTTTTTAACGTCTAAAGGCAGCTTCTGTGTTTGAGATCTCCCATACATCACTCACTAACTTCAACGTAAACTCTGCTTCCTCATGGAAACTTCTCCTCAGGTTACAAAGTACATGAAAACAAGAGGGAGGGAGCAGTTGGGGGGAAATTCCACTCTGTAGTTGGTTCACTTTTATAATTTCAACAACAGTGACATTGATTAGATTTACTCCTATGGGAAAGTTACAGGAGATGGAATTATTGCCCAGTGGTGTAGGCTGACTTCCACATCTCTATTTTGGGAATAAATACTCTTTAAGAAATCCTTGAGGTGAATGATTAACACATACCCAGCGCCAAACAACAAGCCAGAAGATTTGCAGAACTGGGCAGTGGAGCTGTGGCACTTCCTGTTCCCGGCTCAGGTTAAAGGGGGCAGCAGTCCCCTTTGAATCCCACAATGAATGTCCCCCCACAGGGCTCCTGAGCAAATCAGTTCTAGTTGTCTTGAAGTTTCTACTGTAATTGAAAGAGAAATGATGCTTTACTATTTGCCCAGATTTGTCTGTGATTTTTAAAAGGGCAATTTTAATCCAAAGAAGTTTTTCCAGCATATTTAATAAAAATGGGGGCAAGTTGGATAGAAAAGCCTGGGAAGACCACATCTTTTAGAATGTTACTGTGTGAGCTTCCTTATGAAATACTTTCTTTAACAAAATGTTGTTCAGAAAAAGGACGTAAGTCAAGACAGACTAAGCTGAGCTCAGAAAAAACGTAATTAGACACAATGATGCCCATTTAAAGGCAATATTTTTTTTAAAATTAAACAATCTAGAAGATTCTCTTGCAGACTTCATGCATAGCCATAATAATAGGCATCCTTCCAGTGTCATGAAAGAGGACTGTGCTGCATCCTATAGGCTTTGGAGACAGACAGCTGGAGTTAGAAACAGCTCTGTAACCCTCACTGTGTGATCTCCGGTAGGTATTTAGTGTCTTGAGGCATCTGTTTCTTCATCTGTAAAATGAAGACAACAGAAGCACCTCCCCCCGGGAATATTGAGAGTATTGAATGAGATGATGTCGTAAAACACTACGGTGTCTGGTATATAGGAGGAGATAAATACATATTAACTATTATTATTCAAAGATATTGGAAACAAGCATATTGAGAATGTTATTGACTGTCTAACAGAAATATGAAATGTAATTAACTTCGTGAGGGTATACATACATATTTCTATATCCAGGGATGTTGTGTGCACTTAGGAACCAGCCGATCTGGACATCTTTGCAAGATAAGAGAGGTGAGTCCTTTAAGGTTGAGTGAAGGACCAAGGGGAGCCTATGAAAAGACTCATCCCAAGTGCCAGAGGATGACTTGAGGACACAGGTCTGAGGTTGGAGAGGGAGAAGAGATTGTGAGAACCACGCCATATCTGCCACTTGGATATTTGGCTTAGCTCCTAAGAAGTCCTTGGCCAAAAGGCCTGGTGTGGGAATATAAATAACAGAAGAAAAAAAGAAAGAAAGTGCGGGAAATTCACTAAAATTTGCCTGGATATTAAGAGTGCAAAGTGGCAGCTTTGTTCCAGCAGCATGGGCAAGGGCGAAAGACTTTGCTGGGAGCTCTGGAAGATGGAGCCAGCCTTCCAGACAAATCAGTGCCCTGTACATTAGTAGCTTTGGGACAGTCATTTTGGGCAGCAGTCGCTGTGGTGTGGGCGTAATCAGCAGGCAGCAGTGAGGGAGACTTCTGGAGGCATTGGCAGCGTAACTGATGTGGTCAATGCACGTCTCTGCAGGGACCCAGAGCAGGAGAGAAGGAAATAGTGGTTTTCGGGTAGCAAAAAGGAGGAACAACTGATTGAGCACAGGTGAAACCACTGTGGGCATTCAGAATTTTCTGTACTTATAAATACAATGGAGTCTAGAAGAGGCGTTTCACCAGAGGTTGGACAAGCCTTTGAAACCCCAAGCATCCGCCAGTGAAAATCAGATTCCATTTTAGCACAGTCCCAGGGTCCTCTTCCTGTCCAGGGAGCAGGGTTATTCACCCGCAGAGCATCCCGGGGTGCCGGCTTGCCGAGACTTGTCTAAGATGTTCATGCCTTTCAGGATCAGGCTCTTCTAGAGTCCAGGAGAATAAGTTGGGCACTTAAGAACAGGGAAGCCAGGCAGGTCATGCTGGAAATGTCAGGACCAAAAGACAGAATTATCCCTTATCTTGACACTGCTAACCTGGCAGGCCCATTCTGTAACAGCTGAAGTGAGACAATATGGTATGGCGGAAGGAAGGTAGGCTCTGGAACCAGGTGGATTCATGCTCACACTTTGCCAAGAACACTTAGCAGCTTGGCAAGAATGCTTTACCTCTCTGAGTCTCCATTTTCTCCTCTATGGAAAGAGAAAAATATCTGTCTGAGTGTTTGGGAGGGTGAAATAAGGTAACATACAATGCAAAGTACCTGGCCCAAAGTAAGAATTTAAACAGACTTGCAGTCATGAGAGGGATTGTCTTCTAGCATGACATTCTTTGCAAAGAAGCAGTATGATGATCCTTTCCCTGGAAAATTATTCTCAAATAGAGGTTAGCCAAGCTGACAAGATTTCTCGGGGATCCTGGTTCTTGAAACTCATTGGAAGAGAAGGGTAAGATGGGCTCAAATGAACCTGCATTTCTCAATCTCCTCTAAGCATGTGGATCCATCCTTCTTCAGCCTGATCTGTGGCCCTTCTTGGACTGGACCTGAGTCGCTGAGGTCCTCCAGGAGCCTCCAGATCACCTGTGGCAATGTTGTCTCCTTTGAAAAATTACTTTATTGAACAGATTATTACATAAAGTAGAATGCAGTGGAGAGATCCCACAGGAATACCAAAGAGATGTTCCAAAGAGCAAAACAGAGACTACAAAATACAACAGAACAGTAATGTGTACACTTCAGGAGGCGGACACCTTGGCTCTCCTTTGAGGTCTACAAGGGACAACGTGGCCCCTTTTGCGTGAAGGGAGGCATTTATGGTGGACTAGAAAGCCTTTTGGACCAGGCGCGGTGGCTCATGCCTGTAATCTCAGCACTTTGGGAGGCCGAGGCGGCCGGATTGCCTGAGCTCAGAGGTTCACAACCAGCTTGGGCAACACAGTGAAACCCCGTCTCTACTAAAATACAAAAAATTAGCCGGGTGTGGTGGCGTGTGCCTGTAGTCCCAGCTACTCGGGAGGCTGAGGCAGGAGAATCGATTGAACCTGGGCAGCAGAGGCTGCAGTGAGCTGAGATGGCACCATTGCATTCCAGCCTGGGTGACAGAGCGAGACTCCATCTCAAAAAAAAGAAAGAGAAAGAAACAGGGGGAGAGAGAGAGAGAGAGAAAGAGGGAGAGAGAGAGAGAGAGAAAGCAAGCCTGCCTTTTGAAAGGAAAACCTAGTTAAAAATCTAGCTCTGTAGGTTGCCAGTATGTGTAACTTTGGGTAGCCCTTAGAGACTCAATTTCCTAAAATGAGATGAACAAAAACCCCTAGCTAAACAGAATATTGCTTTGAGAATCATGTAAAACAATGCTTATTTTTCAAGGGCAAAAGCATTGTCATTGCCACTGTTTTTAAAGAGAAATAGGTTTCTTCCCATCCTTCATAAACTCACTCCTTTTTCCACCATATTTTTGGAGCCAATGCCGCAGCACCATGTGCTGTACTTTTGAGGATTAATTCCAGCTGGAAACATTGACATTTTTACAAAAAGCAAATACTTCTCATTTTAAAGATTCTCATAATATGCCAAAAGAGAAACTTTCACTTAGCACTAAAAGTTTGCTGCCCTTACCTGACTGAGCTACAATCTTCCTGTGAAAGGAATAGAAACACACATTTTTGCCTCAATTTTGCATGTGGAAATACAACAGAAAAAAAGAAATGATTTCTTCAAAGTCACAGATTGAGCAGTTTAACATTTGAGATAGAACTGCAGAATACCTTTTGTTTGAATACACAGCTAACATCAAATTTGTATGACTTTATTTAGTACCAATTTTGAATGTATAGCATGACTGAAAAACTTTTATTTTGTAAAAATTATTTTACTTAAAAATAAAAACTTAGGCCAGGTGCGGTGGCTCACACCTGTAATCCCAGGACTTTGGAAGACCAAGGCAAGTGGATCACCTGAAGTCAGGAGTTCAAGACCAGCCTGGCTGACATGATGAAATCCCGTCTCTACTAAAATAGAAAAATTAGCTGGGCATGGTGGCTCATGCCTGTAATCCCAGCTGCTCGGTAGGCTGAGGCAGGAAAATCACTTGAATTTGGGAGGTGGAGGTTGCAGTGAGCTGAGATTGCGCCACTGCACTCCAGCCTGGGCAACAAAAGCGAAACTCCATCTCAAAAAATCAATCAATCAATCAAAATAAAAAGATCAAAATAAAAAATTAAAAAATAAAGTTTAAAATAACTTTATAAATAAAACTTTATTTAAAACAAACTTGCAGCTTGGGAGTGGTGCTTTCTTTTCTCTCCTCTTTAGTTAATGTCATGAATCCTATTTCTCTGTTTCAGTGCCTCCATGTCACACACATCTGGTCTTCTCCATCTTGACTGCCCCAGCCCTGGCCACTCTGCACCACTTCACACTTGGTTATTTAACAATATGCTATTGGCAAACTTTCTCCAGGACCTCTCCTCCCCAGTTCTTCTTTTATATTGTAATCTCTTCCCATGAGAACAAGAATCTTGTTCTCCACTATCCCCCAGCATTGAACCAGAGGCACTGGTGGCCTTTGTTTCAATTTTTTCAGGATATTTGTGTAGCAAACAGCCTTGGATGACAAATATGGTGTCCCCCTTCACAGTAGCAGTAAGCAGGTTGTCGCCCATTATAAATATTTGGGTTCTCTAAGTTCAGGGTTACTCTCTTATAATTCAATCAACTGCATATACAGGTGTCACCTGGCCCTCTTCTGGCACCCAGTAGAAATGAGGCTTAGAGAACTGAGACAAATACAGCTATTCTAGCTCCTGGTACTACTGTGCATAATCACCCTCCTTCATCTCTGACCCAGGAGTCTCATGTCTTTTGTCAGCATTTATGAAACTGCTAGGCTAGCTTGTTAGCATGTAAGAATGCTAACCTTCAGAATCCTTTATAATGTTCAACATCATTATCGTTAGAGAAACACTAATTGAAGCATCATGAGCTACCTCTACATATCTATTAGAATGACTAAAATGACTTTTTAAAAAACACTGATAATATCAAATGCTGGCAAGGATAAAGAAAAACTGAACTAGCGGGAGTGCAAAATGGCACAGCCACTCTGGAAACCAGTTTGAAGTTTCTTATAAAATTAAACATGCACTTACATATGACACAGCAATCTCACTCCCAGATATTTAACCTAAATAAATAAAGATCTCATGGTCACACAAATATCTGTAAACTAATGAGTGTAGTTTTTCTATTCACAACTGCCTCAAACTATAAAAAATTGAAATGTCCATAAATGACTAATAGATAAATGAATTGTACATCTACACAATGGTCTACTACATGGCAATATAAAGGAATATGCACTATTCCCAATAGCAGAGACATGGAATCAACATAAATGCCCATCACTGATAGACTGGATACAGAAAATGTGGTACATATACACCATGGATTACTATGCAGCCATAAAAAAGAATGCAATCGCGTCCTTTGCAGGGACGTAGATGGAGCTGGAGGCCATTATCCTTAGCAAACTAACAGAGGAACAGAAAACCAAATGTTGCATGTTCTCACTTATAAGTGGGAGTTAAACAATGAGAACACATGGACACACAGAGGGGAATAAAACACACTTGGGGGGGCCTTTGGGGGATAGAAGGTGGGAAAAGGGAGAGGATAAAGAAAAACAACTAATAGGTACTAGACTCAATACTTGGGTGATGAAATAATCTGTACAACAAACCCCCATGACACAAGTTTACCCATGTAACAAAAGTGCACTTGTACCCCTGAACTTAAAATAAAAGTTTAGAGAAGGAATAAATTACAGAAACACAGAGAAGCATGCATTAATCTTATGCTGAGTGAAAGAAATGAGTCTCAAAAGGTTACATATGGTGTGGTTTCATTTACATAATATTTTCCAAAAGACAAAACTATGAAAACAGAGAAGAGATCTGTGATTTACAAGGATTAAAGGTATGGGGGAAGCGTGACAAGGGAGGGATAGAATGAGGAAGTTTTAGGGGAGTGACACATCTGTCCATGTGTTAAGAATCAAACAACTTGCATTCAGTAGTCCATTTTACTAGACATTACTTTAAATAAATAAAAATTATAAAGTGTTACTAAAATGCTCACCAATGTGCTTCTAGCCATCATTTCACAAGTTTCTAAATCATGCATAATTTTTTTTAAAACTAATTGGCATATAGTAAAATGCACAGCTCTTAATTGTATAGATCAACAAGTTTTGACCAAAAAAATGTGTAACTTTTGACATACAATCTGTTTCTTTTGAGAAACTTGTACCTATGTATTGTCATAGTCTCACCGTGAACACTATTATAGCAGTCATTTATGCTGACATATTTTCTTATCATTATTTTATCTGTTTATTTGTCCTTCATACTCTATAGTTCACTCAAGAGTAAAAGGTAACAACTTAGTCTCAGTTAATCCCTCTCATCTGAATGAATACTTGAGGACAGTATTTTTTTTCATCCATAGGATCCCCCAATGCCATTCTTTTTAATACCACAAATATATCCACATACTATTAATTTACAAAAAGTTTAGGAGGTTGCACTAAAACTTTATAAGCTCAGTGTTCAGCATAGTTTTAAGATTGTAGAGCCAGCTATAGGTAGTATAATGAAACACAGAGAAAAGCCTCTCATATAAATATATGGCAAAAAATAAACATCTCAAACATATTTCATCTGCTCTCTGTATATTATACTCTTTCAAATATATTAA